AAAATTAACACAAGTAAACATTCAAACAAAGCAGAAAGTTGTGTCAATTTGCAAAAAGATGGGAAGATTAAGAAAAATATCTTAGCATTATTTATTTGTTGATTGATTGCTTCACTGTGCAGACAAAGGAATCTATTTTTTTAATGACAAATTGTTATTCACGTGTAGCCGAGATTGAAAAATTAACACGAGTTGTTTTCGTTTATATTCCTTGAGTGTTGTAACACTTTCAACTACTTCATTTTAAGAATTAGTTGATTGGCATGTCCATTCATTCATCTTTATCCAGTTTGTTGATATTAATCGCTTTTGTAAAATATTTTAACTTTATTCTGGTGACCACTTTGAAAAAGTAATCAGCTTAAATAAATCAAAACAGCAACACAAAACACTGACTATTCCTCTAAAGCCAAGATGATAATCTAAAAGTTGAAATACATAGACTATTGCTTCAGATTTTGTTTTTTCATGAATGATGGCGTACTTGAGACTCCATGATGCTACTGTTAAACAGTTCCTGATATTTCAACTTAAAATGGTCTGACTATACAGATATGTATTCGCTACAAGTTCTGCCTGAGCGCTAAGTTCTTCATCGCTTGAGAAGCTATTTATCACTATGCAACTTTAAAGATCGTTGCTTTTTCAGTGGTACATAGAATATACTCTCGTGTATTAAGTCTTACGTGAACATAACCGTTGAGACTAAGCACCGACAACTTTTCGAATGACTGTCCTAGATGAAGACATTCAATGTACCTTAGAGTTGAACCATATCTGATAGATAGCCAATTATAAGAAAAAATTGCGCTGGTATAATAATCACTTTATTGTGTCTGTTTTTGATCAAAACTTATCATGTCGTTATGGTAGGAATATATCCCGAATCAGATGTCTTCGCCAAACAAATCTCATGAATAGAGAAAATAAATTAAAAGCGTCTGCCTTCTTTCATTTAGCATTTCCTCTGATTCAGATTAGAGTTAATTTTGTGGTCACCGTTCATTTTTGCAATATTTAATCAATTTGGTTAGCGTGTCTAGATGACTAGATGAAACATGTTAGTTTTTTAAGCAACTGCATATATATATATACATATATATATACATGAGATAAAATACGAACCTTGTTGCAAATAAAAATCTGTTCTGTCTAACTTCTTTATGTGTTTTTGTACCAAATATGGTTAATGTTCAGTTTCTGGACAGTTACAAATTCTTTATTCTTCTCTTTAAAATGAACAACCTAAGAAGCTTGTAGAATTTTAGTTTGAACGTAGGCGACTAAAACTACTCTAATAGACAGTACATGTGTTTAGTAGTTTTATTATTCAGATGTGTCGCAGTACAGTGAATGTAGGATGAAAACGATCACTTCATAAGTCACATTATGAAAAGTCATGTCAGTGTGAATCGTCTACGTTTATAATATGCTGCAAAAACCAACGATTCAGATTAAAACGAATATTCTCTATAGCATGAAAGCCGTTACAGTTACTTCTTACATTTGATTTTGGGTTAAGTACCGTTATTTAAGAATGGGGAAATAATGAGGGAGGATAGAAAATATTACGATCAGTTGGAATTATTTGTTTTGGGGCATTCATGATGTTTTACCAAACTTCTCAGAACTTTGAAGCTTAAAAGAGTCTCCTAATGTCTGCTAGAGCATAAAAAGAGCCATATTATTGTATATAGTGTGTTTCATGTGGCTGAAGTTATTTATTGCATTGGGACATTTTAAGCTAGGGTCTACTTCACAGCAGTTCAATGTTTTAAAGAAGATTGTATATCAGCTTGATTTTAGGGTTACCCAAAATTTCTATTCACGTACTACAAGCCATGTTCATTACGTGATGTATCGCTTCTGGACAGTTATCACACTGAACTTGAAAAACTTACTTATTCATTGAATAAATTCATATTGACACACTCGAAATATATATAGTGTATCTACGACTCTTGAATCTCTGTCCTTAGACTGCTGTTCAAAATATGGCAATAAAATAACTGGAAGACGCTTCGTTCAGCTGTGCATTCTAAATAGATGATGATAGATACTATGCACAGGTCTTAAGTATTCACAGTTGGAGAGTCATAAAACGTAAAAGTATCATCATCATCAAATATATATGTATATAAATCGGTCGAAAGTAATATAAGAGTGAACATTAGTTTAGCAACGGCTGGTTTATAGTTTTTTTTGGTTTTTTTATGATTACATATTGTGCTACTTATAATGGTTGTGTGCAATATAATCATTTGATTTCATTCTATTCCAACTTAAGTTCATCACCTTAACCAACTACGATCTGAATAAAATAGTTTCCCGTATTGAACTGTATGGCAAATCTATATACAAAACAAAATTTATGCATCTTTCGTGCACCAAATACATTTGATCTGAAGTCCCTGAATAATGACGGTTAGTGGTGCAATCTGTATGGCATATTTCGTCTCATTTGAACATCTGTCAGATAGATCTGCTGATACATGATTGAATGATGTTCTTGTTCTCACAAGCAGTTATCTTCATCGAATATTGCTTGAAATAAATATGTTATGGAGCTATTTGGGTCAACTTTTACTAATCGTATCACAGCTGAAATGCACCACAAGACTCAATAACCTACAAACAAATGCTTTCTGAGGAATGAGCCATTTAGTTAATACAGAATCATTACAGTGTGTGACGTTATTAGTATCCCTGTAGCTAACAACTTAAAGTTGCATCATTTTTGTTACCAGGTGAACAAATTCACCTGAATGCGAATTATGGGCTTTGAATATAATATGCAAAAGCTTTAGCATAGTATCCTTAACACCGGCAGGCAATATACTGTTAAAATAGGTTTGCTCTCGACATAGTTTTGAAAGCAATAAATAGTTAGGCCATCAACAAATGTCTGTCCTCTCTTCTCAAACCACAGTGGTGAATATCTTAAAAACAAACAGACGAACAAGCGAGACACAAAAATTTCATGGATATAGTGGAGAGATAACATTAGTCGGAGCATGTTGACTGTCGTTAACTGATTCAGCGAAACAACAATTTTTAATTTGAATTAAAAATAAAATTAGTCTTCACTGATTTCTCCAGATTACACTTCTTTTGTGAAATAGAAATCTAGTTTGTTGACATAAATCCTTGTAGCAGTAGGTATACTTGTTTACATATATACATAATAACACCAGTTTTTTAAGTGATTTTTAAATGTTTATCAAAACTAAGTGTATTAGGTTTATCATAGTTAACAATGATTTAATTGCCATAAAGCATGTTATTTATATTTATTTGCCTAGAAAGCTGACTACTTCGAAAGCAGATACGAGACTGAGTATAAGAAATGGTATTTGCGATCCTGAAAACAGGCTGAAAACCTGAAAAATTTGGTTTGTCAGAAGAGGGACAACACAGGGTCTGATCGTCTATGTTGATTTACCAAGTGCCCATTTCTTCTGTAACGGCAACACATCATCGAATCAAAATTAAGGGTGTACTTAGTTAATCTAATCATAACGTATATAGAAAAAAGTGACATTCTATCAACTTCGGAAAACATTCACATTGAAGTGATGGCAATGATGACGACAGTTAATGCTATTATGTGGTAATCTCTTTCAGCAAACTGGTGCATTGTCAAAATTTCTTTAGTTATTACAAAAGCGATGGGTTTAAACTTAATAGAAACTTTTATTTTCAGGGTAGTATTCATCATCGACGGGAGTCGGTTGAAGAATCATTGGAAACCTGGTATCACTGGACAGCTACCTTGTTCTAGTAGGTGACTTCTCAGCAGTACGTACCCGCAACCTTAAGAGAGATCCAACTCATGAACTGCAGGTTTTACAGCGAACACGCTAACGACTGAGCCACTTGATCCGAGTCCAATGACCAGAGTTTCCTACGTCTGTCAACTACAGATATATCGTGACTACCACCTAGGGACTTCAGTTGCCATCCACTTCATTTCTGACTTGTTAACTTCGCTGGTCGCGGCTTCTCACCAGAACTTCAGGATACCTATCCCGAAGCCTATCACTATCCTTTAATGTGTTTTGAGGTTAATGGGGACTTTATTTCTAAGATAGTATTCATAACGGACTGACATCAGTTGACATAACTTCTTAGCATGGGCTAAAGTAGTCATTTTGCATCTTACAACGTCATTAGTCATCTTATTAAAAAAATTACAGCAAGTGGAAACACTGCATTTTTAAAGATAATAAACAGAGAAAGTGGATCAGATTTCTTGAGGTTTGCCGAAGCTATGGGTGTAAAACGTCTTAAGTACAGCTTAGTGCACTGAAAGAAACTTTTATCGGTCTCTACCCACCTTGTCAACCTAATTTTCTGAATTGTTACTCTATTATATCATCTAGAAGCACGATGAAAGCTCCATGATTAAACAACCCAGCTCAGAGAACACAATACAACCAAGACCATCCACCTGAGCTACAAATATTCTCCACTATTACGTCATCCTTATTATTATGTATGAACCTTAACTCGTATGATTTTGGAATGATGGAGAATATTTCTTGCTCAGGTGGATGGTCTCTGTTGCATTGTGTTCTCTGAGTTAGGTTGTTTAGTCATGAAAGTTTCACGATTAAACAACTTAGCTCAGAGAACACAATACAACCAAGAATCTCAACTTATACTCTTAGAGTGTTACGTCATGTTGGCTAAATTCTGCGTACATTCAAGTGATTGAGTTCAACTCACTACAATCCATAAGTATTATTTTTTTTTATTAACTGACTTGACTAACTTTACCCTGCCTGAATCATGATATATTTTTCAACCTTACTTTGTTAGGAAATTCTCGGTTACAAAACGTATATAATCAATATATTCTGATATACTTCGCAATCTCTGAATTCGTTGTTATGATCTGTCTGCTAAATATGCTGATCTTTTACAGCTGACCAAAATGAGTTCCAATTATTTGAAGTAAGATTAATTTTCATTATGATCTTTTTATTTGCATATTCTAGGTCACAAGCAGCTGACGAAAAATCGACGAAATATAATGGTCATATGTTATCCTGCTCAAATGGCTATTCTAGATCTTATCCATTATTTTGTACTGAACTAGTTTTAAAATCCAAGGCAGTTGTGAATATAAAAACTCATATGGGAGAGATTAAAAAGATCTTGATACATAGTATGGTAAACTAGGTAAGCTCACTATCAGAACTACCTAAAATGTTATATTTTGGAAATCACTTTTATTGTACGTGTTTTACTTAAAATGCAATCAGTACCAAAGCACAAGATGAGTGATATACTTTGATTTACTACTGAAAGCCTCCCGCCTATCAAACACATAGTGAACTAACATGAATGGATAACAAATGATCCGTCTTTATGTTGTAGAATTTTAGTATTATTTCGGTGGTTTAATAAAGTCAAATTCAGAAGCAAAGTTTTAAGTAGTTCCCCTATTTGATTTAAAAATGTAGCCTTTAGTCTTTAAACTCTTCGACTTGTCGGCAAATAAAACCCAAAGATAACTACTGAGACAGATTTTAAACAATTTTTTTGCCTCAATTTTTCACGAAAGAACCAGAAACAAGTTTTAAAACAATAAATAAAGTTTGAAACAGTCAGTCGTTTTTATAACTTTTGATGGCATAATTAAAAAAAGAAGTTTATCTGAACAAAGTGATATATTTGTGCGATACATTTTGAGCAATCTGACCACACATTTAACTGTCAAGTCAATATATATTTAACCAAGGAGTGGGAGGACAAATACAACAATAATACAATTAAGAAAGATGAGAAGAAACAGGAAGTGACGTAGTTTATCCTAATCTTGGTAAGAAAACAAAGTTTTCCAAGGTAGGTGTAGTTTAATAACAAATTGTTTTTGTACACATAGAGGCGGTTTCGATTTGTATATATCTTTGCGTTAAGACAGTTTGTTCTTACACTACACCTACCTTGGTAAACTTTGCTTTCTTACCAAGATTAGGATAAACTACGTCACTTCCTGTTTCTTCTCATCTTTCTTAATTCTAATCCACTATTGTATTAATTGTTGTATTTGTCCTCCCACTCCTTGGTTAAATATATGTTGACTTGACAAGTACATGTGTGATCAGATTGTTCGAAATGTATTTCGATAAATAAACTCTTTTATTATAGGTGAGAAATGAAGCCGCGCTTCCTCATAGCGTATGTAATTCTAGAGAGAAAAATACTTCTTGACTATAGATTACGTCAAACCAGGTACTGTTGTTATCCGCCATCAATTTTTTTATCTAAAGCCTTTATTTTTATGAGCCATCTGACTTTAGCTAATTTGGTAATTACTCATCTTACTGACATTATCTCTTCCATACAGCAGGAAGCCGACTGAAGAAAATGAGTTGATCTTGTTCACTTACTCCCCTGTCTTTAATGAACACTTAAGAATTTCATGTGTTTCTGTTTTCGGGTGAGACATTCCCAAATCGGGTATTTAAGTTTCATTTATTTTCACTTGAAAAGTAACACTACATAGAGACTGAAATAGAAACACCAAAATAAAGTGATAAAATGACATGATGTACAAGATAAAACGATTTCTGTGCTAATTAGAAACGTTTTACCACTACTCAACTTAACTACAGTTAATTAGACACTTTCTTCAACAACTACCGGAACCTCAGTCATACCTCTTCTTCTATTTTAGTTGGTTTACTGGATATATCACACAGTGAAAAAGTATAATTCACTGGATTACGTTTCGGACACAATTTATTGTCCACAGCCACAACTAGATAACTCCGCAACTTTGAGAGGAGGAAATCTGATATGACTTTGGATAGTGAATTACGCCTAGATTTAATTTCATGGAATAATACTGTTCCACTATGTGATGCATCTAATAAACCAACTAAAATGGAATTATATTCTACCACAATACCTAAGGTTTACTCTTTTATTAACACGTCTTCTTTCCTTCTAACCCCCTCTTCAACCAACCCGTCTACGATCTCTGCTTGATTTACTATCATTTGTGTTTTTGTGATACCTAATGACAATTTTTCACTCAGGAAAAATGCAATTCTTAACCAGTGATGAAATGATTATCAGCCTAGTTAAGACTGCCGCAAAGTCAACATATTTGAACAATGTTGGCAAAATGAGGGAACCCAATGGGATTTTGCTACCAAACGAATTTTAGGAGGTGACTACGAAGGTAAGTAATGGTAATTACCATCCTTCGAAATTCTGCAAGTCTTGAAATAAATGAGGGGACCATTGTAACTTGGTGAAAGTTAGTTAAAAGATCAATGTTGCTGCATTTGATGATAACCATATCCATCATCAGTATGATAAAAATCATAGCATTACCCTTCCCCCATTTTGAAGGTAACCGCATTTCTTCTTGCAATCTTCAGTGCGTGGATTTTCAATTCCTTTACAGTACTAATTTGGAATATAAAATTACGGACTTAAGTAAGAATTTGTTAATACGAATACCCAGAACTTGTACCAATTTCATCACGGGAAAAGAACAATAATTGAAATTATGATGTGTCTTAGCAATGCAAGCACTTCAAGAAATAAATTACAGTAGAGTGAAGCGTACGAAATACATAAATTGACAGAAACACACTGTTAGTCTTTAGCGTCTCTATAAAACCTTGATAAACCAACTACAGTTAAAATTGATAATTCTAACAAGTCTGGTTACATTTTCACGTAAAATATTAACTTCTTCATGGTAAATTCATAATCTGAGACAGATTTTTGAGATGATTTCAAAACCAGTCCCTTAAAATACCAAATACCGTTTCAGGGGATGCACCATCGTACAAACTCAAGTGCTGCTGTAGCTCTCGGAACATTTCTTTCCATCGATATTTATGAAGCTTGATATCTGTATTCACTCAAAATACATCTAGAATACTTTTTGTTACAAACCGTTTTTATAACTATGAAAGCTATTTCATCTTCAGGGAGAGCAAACTTCATACTCAGAGATATGAAAGTATACTTTAAGAAATAAACGTTTTATTCCCAATAGACCAAAATTAATACAGACGCCTACTGATAGCCAATTTTTTTTATTTTCTTTACCTTTCACGGGTGATGTATCAGTGGGTTCAGCAGTTTTACTCTATATATACTACCCATAAAGTTTCATCTTGAAAATAAAACACTTTATGTAACTGGTCAAACGGGCATCATATTTATAAATATCAAATTCGATTTGCATTCTAATGAAGTTGCAAACTGAAATTTAACATTTTAGGCATTTCGAAAGCAAGAAACACAAAGGACTTATTCATCAGAATATCTCATTCAAAGATTTTATAAATCCATCGTCCTAGGTATAATGTTCAGCTATTAAACATATGAAGTCAATGATTGTAAAGTATTAGTCTACCTTTTTTTCTGGTCCCTCACACATCCTAATTGGGATCTAGATTTCATGTTATGCAATTAAAGACCACTGAAAAGGTATGGCTATTAACAATTTTCGAATAATTATACCACAAACCAATAACCAAGACTTGGGTACCAGAATGTTAGAGCAAAAAGTGTACACTGTGGTACAGTATAATTCAATATTAGATTACTTATTAGATATAACCAACCTACAGTGATACAGTATTATTAACCGGAAGAGAATTTATTGCCCATATTCATATCAAAGCAGTTTTCAAACTTCACTTAAATATACGAACAGTTTTAAATTCGCTCATTTTAATTGTAGTAAAATTTTTTTTTATCTGCATTGTGTAGTGACTCATTACTGTTACATGTATTTTTTTATTATTAGTCCCTTGGGTTCCTAGTGGAACATAGGGTTTCAGCAGCACGCCTCCAGTGACCTCTGTTCTCCGCAGTCTTTTGAACCTGGCTCCACGACAGCCCACAAGCTCTCATTTCCTCCTCGCACGATCTCCTCCATGTCACCCTCGGACGTCCAACTCGTCGCTTCCCATGGGGATTCCACTCGATGGCCTGACGCGTGATGTCCCCAGTCGGCCTTCTCAATGTATGCCCAATCCATCTCCACTTCTTCTTCATATTTGTTGAGTGATAGGTTCTTGGTTGGCTTGTTGCCAGAGTTCCTTGTTGCTTATTCCTTCTGGCCATCTGATCTTCAGTAACCAGCCAGCGTAGGCAGTTGTTGATGAATATCTGTTGTTTGTTGGAAGTGCTTTTCGCAACGCGCCAAGTCTCTGAACCATACAGGAGCACTGACTTGACGTTGGTGTTGAAAATCCAGATCTTGTTCCGCATGCTGAGTGCAGAAGATGTTAACTCAATAAAAAAGATTTTGTGACCAATCTCTTCCTCCACCTAGCTTTATTGTATTTTAGAATTGTTATCCCTACCCCTTGTACAATATGATTATAGATCAGTGAGAGCAGAGCGATAGTCGAGTTTTTCCCAAAAATACTTGTCTTAGTAGGGTCTACCAATGTGTTTCACTAGACTTTTGTGCTCTACTATTCTGGCTAACCCACATCGGCCGGTTTGACCCATATACTTGACCTCAGCATCTTTACATGGTATCTGATAGATTAGGTTATTTTTCCTAATCGACTCTACTGATCTTTTAGCCCACACAATTTCTCTGTGAGCGAGTTCGTAAGTCAAAATGCCACCCTAATCCTAGCATTACTATGAATTCTACGTAAAATTTCCGGCGTGTCTTCTTTATACAGCAACACTACAGAGGATATGAATTCTCACTTACGTTTGTTTTACTCAATACTAACGTTTCTAATCCTTCCCCTATCACTACTTATAAATTTTTAATAAATTTCGCAGGGTAGTTTTTAGGACGTAGTGTCTCTTTGATGCGTTTTAGTTCCTTATTTCGGTTTTCTGACTCACTCGTCAAACTCCTAGCCCGATGACTTAGGTATCTTATTAAATATACCTTGAGAGACATGGAGTAAGATGATGTGAAATCTAAACATGTATTGAAAAGTGTCGGTTTCCTGTAAACACTGATATCTAAGCTTCCATGTTCTCTTCTCTTGATTTTGCAACTCTACATAGGCGATTCTCCTTCTTCATTTTCTAATTCTTAAGCTTAATCATGAAACTGATTATATATATATATATATATATGAACAGATAAAAAGACAGGACCACTTATCAATAAAAATTGACACCGTAGATTTAAAGAAATGCGAACAAAGTCTAATCATCAAATATAGTTT